GTGTGTGTAGTGTGTGTGTGTGTGTGTGTGTGTGTGTGTGTGTGTGTGTGTGTGTGTGTGTGTGTGTGTGTGTGTGTGTGTGTGTGTGTGTGTGTGTGTGTGTGTGTGTGTGTGTGTGTGTGCCTGTACTTTTGTATGGCACAGCAATCTTTTCAGGGGTAATGCTGTGTCATCGTCTCTCGGTTTCATTTTCTTTGTTATTAATATGAGTTTGCTCTGTTCCGTAGTCGCATATTAATTTCCTGAAGCTCACGAGGACATAGTTGCCGCCTGGGGGCGCCGCATGTTTCTACCTCATCGGCGCGTAATTAAAATCTAGAAATCCATAGCTTACGCGAAATTACAAATTTAATTCCTCGGCAAATAACACTCAGAACTTGTTAATAAAAAGTTATTATCAAAGGCTTGCCTTTATCGTGCTTTCGGTATCCATACGCGGCGTCCATGTGGTATGCGTAACCTTCACCGCCGCTAGGATCGCTGAGAGCGCCGTACATCGGTGCTGACCCCTGGTAGCAATCGCCGTAACCTAAGAGTGTAATAGTTATTCGTTGTCTCGTAAAATCTCAATGGTTGGTAGAAATCCACGCCGCTCAGATACTCATATATATATATATATATTATATATATATATATATATTATATATAACAGATAATAGTGGTATAATATTCAGGATTAAATGAACGACGTTATTGCCTTACCGTTGCCATTTCTACACCTTTGCTCATTCATCACAATGTTACAATGTTGTTGCGCGCATCTTCACAGCGCGCTGCGCGTGTGTATAGAAATCAGCCAGGGATGAATATTTAGAGATTATCTTTTAAAAATGTCCTATATATAATTACAGTGCGAGTCTGCGCGTAAATATGTTCATCTTGGCCCGGTGTCGACTACCCCCACTCTATATTTATCAGTTTACGCGCACTGGGTTGGCGGCTTGTATACGTGAGTTTCGCACGTGGTTTGGTGTTAATGTTAATTATTTAAAATAACGACGCCTGTACCTAGGTAATGGTAGTTGGAGTAAGGCTGGCTCGTCTTGCCGTTGGTGCAATACTGTGATGAACCTCTGTTGATCACTGTCTCCCTGATAGGAGGCATGACCGGTGATACCGGGGGTGTGAGAATGCTGCGGGGAAGAATACGAAAAACATTTATAATAATAGGATTTAAGGATAGGGATAGGATTTTATATTAGGTATAATAACAGAAATAATAATAATAATAAGAATAATAACGCGCTATCTACATATTAATATTGTATTATATATAATATACATACTATTAAAACGTTGAATATTAATATATACTATCAAAATCAGATTTTATATTAGGTATAATAACAGAAATAATAAGAATAATAAGAATAATAACGCGCTATCTACATATTAATATTGTTATATATATAATATACATACTATGTGTATAAGTACTATGTGGGGCTCATTAGTTATGATTACATACAAGCGGATTCACTTCTATGCTAACATATATAATATCCCGCCATATTCATTATGTTAGTAGAATATGTGTGTAGTAGGGGGAGGGGTGCGTCCTTGTATATGAGTACTATTACACGAGTTATTATGTGAGTGCATATAGCGGATCCACTTCTATGCTAATAGATATCCCGCCATATTTTCACTAGCGTTGGGAATTAACTTCTTAAGAATTCAAAAGAGAAAGATATCATAACTCAGGCCGCCAAATTTCATCAGTGCGTGCGCATGCATTTCCTCGTGCGTGTCCGTGTGCGTGCGTGCGTGCCTGCCTGCCTGCGTGTGTGCCTGTCTGCGTGCGTGCGTGTCCGTGTGCGTGCGTGCGTGCGTGCGTGCGTGCCTGCGTGCGTGCGTGCTTGCCTGCGTGTCCGTCTGCGTTCCTGCGTGCCTGCTTGCTCCGGCGTGTGTGCGAGGGCGCGCGTATATACGCGCTACCGTAAATTTCAACAATCCGTTTACATTTTAGGAAGCTTCTGGTTGGAGATTCATTAGGTGCTAGGTCGGCTCTATCAGATGAAGCCATCTGGCAGTGAGAGCGATATTCGATTGATCTCTGCTCTAAACACAGAGCTTCATCCACACACGCGATATTACTCGCAAAATTTCATCAGTGGTACATGTATTCTTTCAGGTAGGCGTCAGACACACACACACACACACACACACACACACACACACACGACACGCACGCACGCACGCACGCACGCACGCACGCACGCA